CTGACACTGAGAAGCCTTGCAACCAAAGTGTTGCATCTCAGGATGCCAGGAGTTCAGTGCCCTCAGGATCAAGAGCTAAAGTCATTTCCATAAAATACCAGAGTAGGAAGTAGTAGTCACAGAGGCAAGACTTTCCACAGTAACTGAATGCTAGGCCATTTAAAGCATGTGACCGAGACATTCAGTTGTATTAAAAAATGAACTGAGAAGTAAGTCAGAACACAGATTATGAACATGATGTGCTCTCCTCTGCCCTGTGCATTGGACAGCACTTTGGAGAGTGCTCTTAAAGGACAGAACCACAAAGTTCACTGAACATGGAAAGGGTGAATGTCATGATTAGTTCTGCACACAAGAGCAAAAAACACAGAAGTTGAAAGATTGTTTTTCTGACCACCAGTGCACTCTTAAAAATCAAGAGCTTAAGTGCTGCCAAAATAGCTCAGTTGGGAAAAGCGTTAAATTGAAGATCTAAAGGGCCCGGGTTTCAGCAGAGCTTTCACCAACGCTGGTGGCTGTGTGGTAGAGTTTCTGCCTACCATATAGGGAAATCCAAGTTCAAGTCCTAGTTGGGATGAATTGGGGTGAGTCAAGTGACAGGGAGAAATTCTTAGGAGGGAAGTGGCCAGCATCAAGAGGGTTCAGAGGAGGGCCACTCGCATGATTGAGGGAGGGGACAGCAGGGCAGATCCTATGAGGAGAGGCTACAAGACCTTAACCTACTCAGCCTTTGCAAGAGAAGGCTGAGGGGGGAGCTGGTGGCTGTCTATAAACTTACCAGGGGTGACCAGTGGGGAATGGGAATAGACCCTGTTCCCCTGAGCACCTCCAGGAATAACAGCTGTAAGTTGACTGAGAGTAGATTCAGGCTAGATATCAGGAGGCACTACTTCACACTCAGGTGGCTAGGAGTTGGAACCAACTTCCAAGGGAAGTGGTGCTTGCTCCCACCCTGGTGGGGGGCCTTTAAAAGGAGCCTTGATAGTTACCTCTCAGGTATTCTCTCCTGCCCAGGGCAGGGGGTCCGACTTGATGATCTGCTTGGGTCCCTTCTGACCCTACATCTATGAAAGTTACTTAACAAGCCTCCAAGACTCATCACCTTGACCACTCTTTTTAAATGCCCACATGCATATACATTAGTGCCATTAGCATGCTTGGTTCTTCAGACTTGCAAAGCAGCAAGCTGTGTAGGAAAGGAAACTTTCAACCCAAGGGGAAAAAAAAAAAACAATGATAAATGAAAAGGAAGATATCCTATAATGAACGGAACAGTAGAAAGAAGATTAAGTTCCTAATATATAACATTTACATAAATAAAAAGGGGGGGGGGAGGGGGAAGAGAAAGAGGATGAAGTTCCAGAAGGACCTAGTATGGCAAGATAGCAGGGTCCTAGGCATGTAAACTGAGCCAAGCTGCTACCAGACAGATAAATGCTGCCCTGCAGTCTCAAAGCCTTTTTTCTTACAACTCTGCCTGTTTGCAGTCACACTTATTTTTGATTAAATCAGACATGTCATGAAAGCAAGGGAGCGTACACTCACACTGTACATGCCTCACACTGGAAGGTTTTTTATTTTGTGTATGTTGCAATATAAGCTGAATAACAGTGCCTGCCTCTGACAGCATTTTTCATGAGTGGATCTCAAAAGAATACCACTACTTAGGTGGTATTCATTTAGCATTTCATCATGGATGGAGAAACTGAGGTTCACAGGGAAAACAGTGCATCCAGGTCGGGCAGAAGGGCCTGGAATAAAACCCAGGCCTCCCTTAGTCAGATAGTTTGGCCACTGGAACAGAATTCCTCCCTGAAAGATTATGAAATTGAGGCCCAATGGGCAGGAATAGAAGTCTAGCCAAAAAGCTGTTTTTCCAAGACTAAGAAAGTATTCCAAGAGTACGAACAGCACCATGGAACAAAACTGATTGGGAGAAAGTGGGACTGATGAGAGGCCTGAAGTTGAGAGTACATGGGTGCCAGCAACCTCCTACCAAAATCTCTCTCCTCCCCTATTTTATCCAATTTAGCTCAAGCCAGCCAGTTTAAGACCGAGTCCAATACATTAAGATAATTGTTTCTGCTTATGTCAGCACTGCTGCAAATGAGCTATGAGCAAACATATCCCTACCCAGGGGAATAAAGTGGTCTAGTACACATTTTGGCTCTGAGTAACAATCAGTCTTCAAGCAAAATCCAGGCATTTCCCAGTTCCCCAGCTCATGCAGAGCCTCTCCAGTTTGCAAAAAATGACTTGAAGACTTACCAAAAGACTGTAATTTGCAAACAGCAGAATGACCAAAGTACGAGCAGACAGCTGCCACAGAAGTTTTGCCACCACCATTCTGGATTTATTTCTCTGCAAAACTTAACCCCCAACACTATTTTTCCCTTAGTAGCCTTTCTTTGGGAGGAGAAGGGTTTCAAAAGAATAAAGAACATGTAAGCACCAAAGGAAAAAAAAAAAGTCTCATCAGTGTATCATTTTCCAATTACAAAAGTGGATTTGATGATAATGCTCAATGGAATGACTAGAACTGGAGACATGTTTCACAGTGTCAAGTATTCAACGCATTTGATCTTTAGGGCCACAAATTGTCCATGAACAAATAGCAATTTTTCTCAAATATATTCACTGTCTATAAAACCTGTTTGTCTAACAACTTCCGGAAACAAGCCACAGTTATGGATATGCTTACTATCTGTAAACATACTTTATAAAATTTGAGTGATGTGGATTAGCTCTGCAGACAAATCCAATAGCATATTTCAATTCCCTGACTGAATCAGTGGAACTCTTATAAATCAGGATCAGTTCAAAATGTGTCAATCTGTAAACATTCTCCAACGTGCCCTTAAATCTTGCTGTTTTGTGCACGTTTCTTCCAGAAACCTAATCTGCTAGAACACTTATGGGAACCAAAAGCAAAAGACTACCAGTCAAAGCAAGTTCTTTTTAAAAATCTCCAAAAATATTCACATGCTTCTGGGAGGCTCGCATGGCTCCCATGCAGCTCTATTAATGATCTGATTTGTCTTTTGTAGCTGGAAATACAGCATTAAAACAGTCAGACAGAGAATGTTCTCCTTCTATATAGATTCCAAAGTCACAGCTGCCATCTAGTGTACTGGGGTTTTGTGACTCTTGAGAGCAACTTGTCTGACAATTTTTTAGATTGGATGAAAGGAAAAACCAGGCTCACTGAATTTTTGGAAGGAGAGAGGCTTGCAAATGATTAAAGTTCAATTTATTGAGGTTTCACTATAGCTTGCTTCTATTTGCCCCTCCCTAACTAATCTCACTGCATGTAGCTTGGCTAACTAACTCCAGATGTTTAACTATTTCTGAATGTAAGCATTCTGCCACTTGAACACCTGCAAATTGAGTTTTGGAAAATGGGTAAGTAATATTCTTAACTTTATCCAGACAGTAAAAACAAGCTGTTGAAACCCAGACAGACAAAAATTCTCCATAGCTACACATTTCTTTTGCCTAAATATTCAAACACATGCAGCAAAAAGGCTTGATATCATCTGCAGCTGGGCAAGCCTTGAAGCTGAAAACTGAACTCATTCTCATTTCGGGAAAAAAATACAAAAGTTGCAGTTTAATCTGCCTTCATAGGAGTCACAACAGATATCCATTTAAACCATCAGTACAGATTTCTGTGTCAAATCCATTTATCCCTTAGGTAAAACTTGGTTTCAACACTTCAGAGCTCAGGCAGCCAATGTTCTAATGTATGCTGCAAAGTGTGACAAAAGCCAAGAATGAAAGACAACAATTATTCATACTGGAAGTTAAAATACCACAGGATTAATTTCTGCAGCATGGGTAACTCTGTTTGCAATTATTTCAGATAAGGATAATTTTCAATGATTAAAGTAATTGTGTGTGTGGAACACAGGTAACTATAGGACTGAAATGACTGACACCTCGTGATAGGACATATAATTGAGGGGTAAATTACACCCTATATAAAATAACTAAAAATATACCTACAAATTATTAAGTCACAGAAGGTACTTTAGACCATTTCAAAATTTAGATTTTTATAAATACTATTATGACTGACTATGCATCTGAGAATGAACAGTTTATTATGCAATGAACAAAAGGGAAAGTGATCCAGGACATACCCTAACCACTTTCTGTGGGATGCAACCACAGTCCCTTATTGAAGGATCTTACAAAATAGGGAGGTGTGTGCTGGGGGGTGGAGGGGGTGCATACAACACAAGCCAGTGCTCAGTATAATAATGAAGCTTTGGGTCAGGGTACGTCACATGCTAGAAACTGAAAAATGGTCATGTAGACCTGCCATTTAAGGTGACCAAAATGACATTTGCCATTAAAAAAAAAATCAGAACCAGTTTTGGATTCAAAGAAAATATGCAAAACAGAAGACGGAAGAGAATACATACTGCATAAAAATATAAAGCTTCAGGTCAGGAGGTGACATTCAGACATAAGCTATTTCCAAAAGGTCTGTAAAGGGATCCTCCAGTTGGAGGTGGTCAGAAAAAGTACTGTATCCTTGATATCATTGAAAAGAAACATTTTTAATTCAAAGCGTGTTTACAACATAGAACTAGTATAAGGGTGCTGACACAAGACAGCATACTGCAAATATAACGTTCTGGGTCAGAAAGCATGTGTCAGCTGTTTCGGAATGTTATGGTTACAGGGGCAGGTTGCTCAGGGTCACCAAGTGTTTTTTATCCTTTACGAACAGGAAAAGCTCCATCTTCTTCAAAAAAATCTGTAAACTGAAATGTGGAGTATAACACATGGGAGCATACTGCATGGATATAAAGCTTTAGGTCACAAAACAATGTAAAAAAGCTAATTTGGAACAGTGAAATCCTCACAGAGACAAGCTCCTTTGGATGATCCAAGACAATTTGTCATTTATACATTCTCAATCCTGTTCAACCCCTACTTAACGCAGTTTCACTTACTACAGTTTTGCTATAGTGCTCATTTAAAATACATACCTGGTTTCATTTAGTGCTCAGAGAATTTTGTTATAACGCTCAGTGCAGGGCTGGGGAGAAGTAGTGGCAGCAGCGGCAGTGAGTGAAGAGGTGAGTGACAGCCAATGGGTGCCCACAGCGGGGCAGCAGGAGAGCAGGTTTGCTCCTGCATGCGGCACTGGAGTCGGCAGCGAGGAGCGGCAGTGGTGAGAGGGCAAGGGGGGCAGGTGGCATGACTGCAGAGCCCAGGCTGGGGCCCAGGGCAGGGTGGCAGGAGCATGGCAGGAGCCCGCAGCCAGCAGGCAGGTGGGGAGGAGTGGCGGTAGCAGCAAGAAGGGGCAGGTGAGCAGGGGACATGAGGGCCGAGTGGGGCTGAACCTGCGGAGCCCCTGCTGCCCCTGGGCTGCAGCCCGTGCCCCATTCATTCCAGTCACGCACTCACCCGCAGGGCATGGACACCGTCCTGAACCTGCAGCAATCTGGCGGTAGCAGACAGTCCCAGTGTTGGGTGTTCTGGAGGGAGCCCCTGCTGGGTGTGCGGGGAACAGGCACCGGTGGGAGGGTAGCCCCACAGCTTCCCCCATGCCGGCTGAAGTCCCACTACATGGGGTCTGGGCCAGCAGTTGGTGCGGAACCAATTATATTTATTTACATTAAATCCTATGGGGAAATGGCTTTCACTTAATGCTGTTTCGCTTAGCACTCGGTTTTTCCAGAACCAATTAAGAGCATTAAGCAGGGGTTACCTGTATTCAGACTAAGAGGCTATTATTACCCAACCCTGCACTAGGATCAAGCCCACTTCTGAAGGGACAGAGGGGCAGGGGGGGAGAGAGGAATATTTCTGAAAACTGAAAATGATATGATAGAGCAATACACATTTTTTTTTTATTACTATTCAAAACATTTTTTGTTATGTTTGGGCTTTCAACAAGAAACTAAAATCAGCCTTGTATTAACAGTCCCTTCTAATCTGAAATATTTCAAATAAGATCTTTGCTTGGAAATCTTTGGTTTTATAAAGAAAGTTGTGTTCCCCTCCCCTCCCCCTCCTTCCTATTTCCAGACTGATTTAGTCAATTTTAACTAGAACTGCACTGATATATCAGTTCATAGCAGACTGGCACCAATAAAAAGAAAACTGACAGCTTTTTTTGGCCAATCATCTTTTTTTGGCCAATGTAGCCAATGTTACTGATAAATGCCATGTGCGTGTGCGCAGACACAGCATGCACATGGACAGGACTGCAGTCTGGCAGCTTGGAGACCAGTGTCTGGCTGGTAAGTCTGTGAGGGGAAAGGGGTGTTGGGGGGGAAGGGTCCAGGGTCCCCAGGGTGAGGGAGGGAATGGGGTAGGGGCAGGGGCTGGGGCAGGTGCTGCCCAGCCAGGGTGGGGCTGCGGGCGGCTCATCCAGGGGCGTAGCAGGGTGGGGAAGGGAAACAGCTCCCACCACTGCATGCACCCCCAGGGGAGGCATGGGGGGCAAATGCCCCCTGGATCTGTGTGCAGGGGGCGGGCGGGCTGCCCACTGCGGGCTTGGGGCTAAACAAGCCTCTTCCCAGTGGGGGAAGGGGCCTGGGCTGGGCCTGTGCTCAGGGTGTGCGGAGGCAGGGTTGCCAGCAGCAGTGCTGGAAGGAGGCTAAAGCAAATTTTGGGGTGGCTGTAGCCCACCCCATAGCACCTCCCCTCTCAGCATCATTGCCACTCATCCCAGCCTGCTCCAAGCATAGCCCTGGCCCAGCCTCACCACTGGGAAGAGGCCAGAGCAGCCCTCAGCCCCAAGCCCACAGCAGGCAGCCCACCCTCACATTGCGGACAAATCTGGGGATGCACACAGTAGCAGGAGCCACCCCTCCCCTACCCCCCACTCCCACCCCACAAAGAGCTGGATGCAGCTCCATCCTGCGCCCTGCCCCAACTGGCCAGTGCCAGCCCCTACCCCACTCCTTCCCTCACCATGGGAGCCTCAATCTGTCCCCCCATGCCCCTCCACCCCTACCCCTCCACCCCTGAATTACCGGCCAGACGCTGCTCTCCAAGCTGCTGGGCTGCATATCGGCTATTGGATCGGTATCGGCCAATATGGCTGGTTAATAATTGGCCATCAGTACGGGCTAAAAAAATCTTTATCATGCACCCCTAATTTTAATGTAAAGAAGCCCCGAAGACAGTGCAGTCAGGTAAATCTCAAAGATATTTTAAAGCTATCATATTTGTAGGCCAGGGTAGCAAGCATTTCAGTATTTGGAATCCAAACAAAATATTGCGGTTTCAAAAGCAAGTGTGCAGAAGTTAATGTCAAGGGTTATTGTGCGCACACAGAATATTACTACTAGGTCTAATTTGTAAGTACCCCAAAAGATCTGGAAAGTACTGTTTCAAATGCAGAAACTCCAACTCATATAATAGTCTACAAAAGCCATGCAGCCACACATCAACAATCCACAGATTACAATAATGCCATGTATACAGCCATGGAGATTTTTTTTTTTTACTGTGTCTTTTGAAATAGAGGAAGAAGGAATGAACGCCAACAAAACAGTGCTATAGTAATGCTAACGTTCTGATTCCAAAAGCCCTGAATTTCAGTTAGATCTTCCCCACTGTCTGTAGATCTGAAAATACATATTGGACACAACATAATGCTCTCTCAGATTCTTTCAAATCCTAAGTACAACAAGAAGAATGGGAACCACAGGCCAAAGTTCTGTCTTCAGTTACACCCACCTCTTAACTCTAGATCTATCTGCTTTTATAGGCTGAGTTTCAACAGTCCCGTCAGCATTAATATATCACATATTACTAGTGTGTCAATCAAGTGCTTGCAGAAGTACAGGTACGTAATGCATTCAAATTAATATCTTTTAATTCTTAACTGCAGTAATGTTGAGCAATCCAAATCAGTATACGTTCACACATAACTTTGTAGGAGGAAGAGAAAAACAAGATCATTGGAATGAAACAGTGTTAAACACTAAAACATGAGGTATCAATGCACTCCTTGCTTGGTCAAAATTGTCACTGAAATCCACAGGAGTTTTGTCTGAATGAGGAATTAAGGATGGAGCCTCAAAATTAATAGCAAAATCCTTTTATATGACAGTATCAACATTTCATTATTTGCCTCTGGGCAGATCTGAAAGCTAATTCTATTTTATCCCTATACTTTCTCTTCCTACTCTGTCAAAGAAAAATGTACAAGTATCATCTTCAGGTATCTTCGCACCTCCTGCTTCTCACATTGCATTTTCATTTAAGTAGTAACTGCAAGTTCTAAGGGCTCTCATGCTGGCTCTGTTCTCTTAGCTGACCCACTTAACCTGGCTTCCTTATTGATAAAAAGGGAAAAATATTCTCTGTCTCGCACTGATACATATAGGATTAAATAATATCTATCAAGTCAGAAGTGTCTAGTATTATTCAGCAACTGCTACCATAACACCATCACAACAGTGTGAGGATTAATAAATGCAGCTACAAGTGTTGGTGCATTCAGCCAACCAACAACTGCCCCAATAACTTACTATATCTTCTGTTTTATCTAGCTATTGCAATAAACTGCCTTCCTACTATAATTTCAATAGTTCCGTAGTTGCTTTTATGAAATGTATTCTTCCCAAAGGGACTAGTCTACATATACAAACTTGCCCTGGTTTCAGTTAACTCTGTTCACACAGACCTGCGTTAGTTTATCAGTTTAAAACTGGTTGTGCTGTGTTAGCATGTTCTGAATTTACAGGAGCAAGCTAAATCAATCCAAGATGACTTTCTGCCAATTTAACGGCATCCACACAAGAAGTCAAACAGGGCTTTAACTGAATTAGTTCAAAATCTTGAGCCCTTAATGCAACTGTGTGGTAAGCTAAGTGCATGCAACTTTTATGGTAGCAAAGAATAGAAAAATATCTGGTAAATTAGAAATCTAGTTTATTAACTAGACTTTCCCAAATTCCGCCATGTACTTTTTGAAATTCCCTGAAGTTCCTCAGCAGTATTCTCTGACCTAACAGTCACTTTTTATTAATTATTTTATAAAACTTGAAACCAATATTGGAGAACTGCACACCTGGGCCATGAACTCCTTCAACACAGCAAGGAACTTTAAAGGACACAGAGGAAATTACAACTGTCACAGAATCATAGGAAATTAGGGTTGGAAGGGACCTCAGGAGGTCATCTAGTCCAACCTCCTGTTCAAAGCAAGACCATCCCCCACTAGATCATCCCAGCCAGGGCTTTGTCTAGCTGGGCCTTAAAAGCTTCCAAGGATGGTGATTTCACCACCTCTCTAGGTAACCTGTTTCAGTGCTTCACCACCCTCCTAGTGACAAAGTTTTTCCTAATATCCAATATTAGTTGCTGTCCTTTTTGCTCCTCCCCCCAATGAAATTGTTTTTCACTAGCCACATCCCAAAAGCTGTCTTTATTATCTTTTGTTCCAATGCATATCTCTCGGATAATGTGCATGGGAATTTCTAGCTATGTTTTCCTAGTTATGAAGTCCCAGCTGTGAACTCTGTCCAGAGAGAACACATGTCTGTGACGTCATCCAAAGGAGCCAAACATCCAACCATCATGGGATTTTGACCAGCCAATGTGCTCAGTCAATGCCCTTAATTATTTAGTTGTGCCCTCTGTGAACTTCAGATGTTACTGAACATACTTTGCTGGAAAGTGGCACTGCATTTTCCATTCAAAAAAGGATGGAAAACAAAATACTAACTACTCTGAATTGAATGGAATTGCATTTTTGCTCAAGTTTTCATTATAAAGTTCCAGCTGATGTCAATTGGAGTTTCTCACGCACATCTTGTGTGCACAAGAGATATTATATTTCTTTCAACCATTTTTAACATTTTCCTTTCTTAGCCTTAGCAGCTTCCAGGAGAAATTCTGCAGTTGCTGATGTAAAACATGAAGCTAAATTATTTATATTAAAATACTGTTCTCATTAAAGTTAATTATTTCTGTACACTATAAATTCTGAAATTTCTTCTGTTTTTGCTCACAAAAGGGGGACAACTACTCAGGTTTCTCATTCAACGCTATTAATTAAAATTTAATGAGAAAAACTTTGAAGAATAGTTACAAAATGAAGCACACTTACTAGAGGCTGAGTAGGAATACATGCTACTGGATATTTTATGTTTTAATATTTGAAAAATGAGTATTTGTTGTGCATCCAAAAGTTTAGAAGAAGCGGTACTAAGAAGCAACATCGAGTTCTTAAAAAAGACCATTTCTTCCATTTGTTACAAAACTCCTTTATACAGCATGATAAACCCTAGTTTGAATGAGTAACAAGTTTCTAAACAGATAGGCAATTCCGTGCTCTTAACATGTCAGATAAACATTTTACATAAATTTGAAGTTTCAGTACTTTCTTCCTTACTCAAAGAATGTCAGATCATGTGTAGCACCCACCCTGTCAAATATCACACCTGGGTTACTGAAGCATTTAGAGAAACAGGCTTGTATACCAATGGACTACATACAGATTGAAATGGCACTGAGACTCGGATAGAGATTCCCCACATACCATGCCTCTCCCCAGATTTTCCTTAAAGACACCAACATCGGTCCTGTCTCACAACTGATCACAATGCATGTGTTTAATTGGTTACAAGCGACCATTAACAATGCATACATATTAATTACCATTTCAAATTTATATCCAAATTAATGTTTTCATTACCCGTAAAATGTCAAGTTGCT